GGCTTGCCGGTCGAGCCGGAGGTGTAGAGGATGAACAGCGGGTCCTCGGCGTTCATCTCCTCGGCCGGGCAGTCGTCGGAGACCTTGCCGAGCTCCTCGTGGTACCAGAGGTCGCGGCCGTCGACCCAGTCGATCGCGCCGCCGGTGCGGCGCACCACCAGCACCTTCTCGACTCCGGGGCAGGAGGCCAGCGCCTTGTCGGTGTTGGCCTTCAGCGGGATCTTGCGGCCGCCGCGCACGCCCTCGTCGGAGGTGATGACGAAGCTGGACTCGCAGTCCTGAATGCGGCCGGCCAGCGCGTCGGGGCTGAAGCCGCCGAAGACCACCGAGTGGATGGCGCCGATGCGCGCGCAGGCCAGCATGGCGTAGGCCGCCTCGGGGATCATCGGCAGGTAGATGGTCACCCGGTCGCCCTTCTTGACGCCGTTGGCCTTCAGCGCGTTGGCCAGGCGGCAGACCTCCTCGTAGAGCTCGCCGTAGGTGATGTGCTTGTGCTCTTGGGGGCTGTCGCCTTCCCAGATGATCGCCGTGTCGTTCCGCTTGGTATCCAGGTGGCGGTCGATGCAGTTGTAGGCGGCGTTGGTGGTGCCGTCGTGGAACCAGCGGATGTGCACGTCGTCGGGCGCGTAGGAGACGTCCTTGACCTGGCTGTAGGGCTTGAACCAGTGGATCCGCTTGCCCTGCTCGGCCCAGAAGGCCTCGGGGTCAGCGACCGACTGCTCGTACATCCGCTGGTAGCCGGCGGCGTCGACCCAGGCGTTCTCGGCAATCTCGTCGGGGACGGGGAAGGTGCTGCTCATCTGGGGTCGCGCTCCCTCAATCGGTCTCGTTGCGGCCTGCCGCGCCGCGCGGCTTGGACCCGGCGCGTTGCTCTCCTCCTCGGGGGGCCTGTCTCGTTGCGGGGCGCAGCCCTCGGCGCTGCGCGGCCCGGTCGCAGATGGCCGCCTTCGCCCGGCCACCCCCTCTCTGGCTTCTAGCCGACTATTCCAGAAAAACCCACCGGTTAACAACCATGGGCAGGAAGCGGCGCCGAAGCTCGCGCCGGCGCCGGGCCCTGGCCTGGTCCGGCTCCGTCATGGCGGCCAACCTCACACCGGCGGCGGCAGCGGGGCGATCAGCACCACCCGCTCGGCGGCGTCCAGCGCGACGGCGATGGGGGTCAGCGCCTGCCCGACGCAGGGCCCGGACACGCAGTAGCCGTCGTGCGGCCGGAACAGCGCGCCGTGGGTGCGGCAGATCACGTGGCTGCCGCGCGCGTTCATGAAGCGGTCGGGCCGCATCTCCAGCGGCACCCCCAGGTGCGGGCAGGCGTTGAGGTAGCCGTAGACCGCCCGCCCCTGGCGCAGCACCACCAGCTCGCGGACCTGGGTGCCGTCGTGGACCTCCAGCGACTTGCCCTCGCCGTCCTCGATCTCGGCGAGGCGGCACAGGGGGAGGGGGTAATCGCTCCGCTCGGTCTGGGGCTCGGTCTGGGGCATGGCGGCTCTCGGCTCCGGAGACTTGGCGGCCGGCCTGGCGCGGCGATGTCGTTGCCTGTTTTATGCCAGGATCGATCCCTCCACAAAAACGGACGGCGAGATGGTTCTGACTCTTGCGGTGTCGGGCTACCGATCCTTGCGCGACCTGGTCGACGCCTTGGCGAGCCAGCCGAGCTGCGCCCGCTACGAACTGCGCACGCACCTGGGGGAGACTCTCGTCGCCGAGGTCGAAACGGGCGCGGTGGCGCGGCCGGGCTGGGCCTGGCCGCCCCGCTAGGGCAGATCCCGACCTGAAGGGGTCGCGGCGCGCTCCCTTCAGGTCGGCTGACTCTGCTCTAACAAATTAAACTGCGAGCGATGTCTCGCGCCCGTCTGGACGCATGTCGGCCCGGCCGCCGGTCGCTCAGTCGGGATCGGTCTTGCCCAGGGCGCAGAGCTGGCGCCAGGCCGCGTCGGGCACCGGCTGCACCGACAGGCGCGACTGCTTGAGCAGCGGCAGGTCGTCGAAGCGCCCGTCGGCCTTGATCTCGGCCAGGCTGACCGGCCGCGCGAAGGGGCGCAGCGCCTTGACGTCGACCATGCCGAAGCGGCCCGAGGGGTCGGTGTGGTCGGGGTAGTATTCCTTGACCACCTCGACGATGCCGACGATCCGCTTCTCGTTGACCGAATGGTAGAAGAAGGCGCGGTCGCCGCACTTCATGGCCTTCATGTTGTTGCTGGCCTGGTAGTTGCGCACCCCGTCCCAGTGCTCGGTCCCCTTGGCCACCTGGTCGTCCCAGGACCAGGTGCCCGGCTCGCTCTTCATCAGCCAGTAGGCCATCGGCGCTGCTCTCCCTCGTTGCGGCTCGGCCAGCGGATAGCAAAAGCCGCGCGCGCGAGCCAGCGGGCTTTGCCGCAGGCCCGTGTCTTTGCCCGATTCCCTGGGCGCGCAAATCGCTTTAGCCTGCTGCGCGCGAAACCGAGGAGAGACCATGAAGCTGCAGCTCGCCACCTGGCCCGAGGTGGAGGCCTACCTGAAGACCTCCACCGCCATCCTGATCCCGATCGGCTCGACCGAACAGCACGGCCCGACCGGCTTCGTCGGCACCGACGCGCTCTGCCCGGAGATCCTGGCCGAGGGCGTGGCGGCGCAGACCGGCGCGCTGGTCGCCCCCACCGTGTCGGTCGGCATGGCCCAGCACCATCTGGGCTTTCCCGGCTCGATCACGCTGCGGCCGACGACCCTGATCGCGCTGCTGCAGGACTGGATTAACTCCCTGACCCGGCACGGCTTCGACCGCTTCTTCTTCCTCAACGGCCACGGCGGCAACATCGCCACGGTGCAGGCCGCCTTCTCCGAGGTCTACGCCGAGGCCAGCCTCGGCGCCGCCCCCTCCAACCGGCCGGCGCTGCGCTGCAAGCTGCGCAACTGGTTCGAGGTGCCGGGCGTGCAGCGCCTGAGCAAGGAGCTGTTCGGCGGCGCCGACGGCCAGCACGCCACGGCCAGCGAGGTCTCGCTGACCTACTACGGCTATCCCGAGGCCGGCGCCCGCGCGGCCCGGGGCGCCGCGGGCATGAGCCCCAAGGTGGCGCCCAGCGGCCCCTTCACCGACGCCGCCGACTACCGCCGCAGCTTCCCCGACGGGCGCATGGGCTCCGACCCCACCCTGGCCAGCGCCGAGAAGGGCCGCCAGCTCTTCGAGGCCGCGGTGCAGGAGCTCTCGGCCGAGTGGCGCAGCTTCGCCGAGGCCGGCTGAGCCGGTGCCGCGGGGCGTCCAAGGCAGGCGACCGCCGAAGGGCGCGACTCCCCGACCCGAGATTTCCCGACTCGGGGCTTTCGCCCTATGATGGCAGCGCTATGAGGCCCCAGCGATGAGCCGTCCTCGGCCACGCGCCGTCCCTCCGCCGGCCCCAAGGGCCGCAGCGGCCCCCAGCGCGGTGCCCGACGCCCGAACGGCCGCGCGCGCGCCGGCGCGCGACGAGCCGGCGGTGGAGA